CACTCAGCAATTGAGTCAACAATGTCCATCTACTCCATAAAGCGTGTGTTAAAAAACTCACCCATGTGGCTCTTTTTTTCCCAACTTTTCCTTGATAAAGGAAAGAAATTGTATTTTTTTTATTTGAAAACGACAAAGTGTTTTTATTTGCCTTTGTTATATGAGATAAGCAAAGTTTGCCACTTCCATACCTTTGATCCCAAACAGATGCTACAGAGATTTGGCTACACGGACAAGTTGACAGATGGGCAGACACTTGTGAGTATGCGCTTAACTGTGGGATACCCTTACAATGCAATAATTCTTAAATCCACATCTTCTAACCTCCAGGGCACAATTACTTTATTTTTTAAATTGCACCCTGTGCAGCACAGCCCTTGAGTGCCTGTAGAGAAAATGAGCACATTATAACAAATAAAATATTGCAGAACAACAATAGCTTAAACTAATTAAAATAAGAACCCATAAAACAGCCTATTGCTGGGCCACTGGGGAGGAGCAAAGTCCTTAGTGTAACCACTAAGACTGGGAGGCATTAGAAAGAAGAGGCTTTTCCTTGTCCATGCAATGGAAGCAGGAGTTGGTAGAGGAAGGACTGGAGGAGGAAAACGGCAAGCTCTATTCTTCATTAGGAGCGCATTATTTCCCAGCAGACCTAAACAAGATCCTTAGTATGGTAATGAGCCAGTGCTGCCCTGATGGCAATAGACAAGCAGGGTCATATTTGAGATGACCCTTTCCCGAGATGTATAGTCCAACTTTCCATCACTAACTGAAGCCTTCCCCATTTCACTTTCCTACCAGATTTAGAGCAGGTGTCATCTTCCTTATTTTCCCCAATAGGAAAAATTCTGTATTATTTTAAAACTTAAAATGAACGTATCTATTCCATATATACAAATCACAACCCTAAGTAAAAATATATACGCAAAGTATACACATGCACGCACATACACACAGACGCTCCCACATGTATGTCTGTCACCTTACAGTCCCTTCCGCAGATGATAACACAGGATAACATAATTAATCTACTAGCCAAAAAACAAAGCCAGTTCACTAGGCCTTCTTAAAATAAAAGTGTACTCTAGTTTGTCTTTAAGCCTCCACAAAGTTTGAAAGCATTGCTATCAAAATATTTTTGGAAATTCTGTAATGTTTCTTCTTTTCCTTTGGCTTCTCATTTCTAAGGACTCAGTTCAAGAACTAAACCCCAAAATATCTTTCCCCTGGGACACTGAAATAACTGTCCCAAAGCAGCTGCCAGACCTATAGCTATTCAGAGGTTTGGGACAGATTCCAAGGAAGGCTACTTGCAATTTTAATTGAGTTAAAAGCCCCCCCTTCCAGAGATTCTCAAAGAACAGGTATACAGGGCTTAATCTTCTGAATTCTCTCTTTTTCATTCATGACTCTATCTGCTGTTTCACTTCCTTTTCTTGCCCCCTTTTGTCTTTGCCACACTCCTCCTCTGGGTTTTATTTTAGATCAAGGAAAAAAAAAACAAAAAACCAACCAACCCCTTCCTCTCACCCAGTGTGCTCTGAGGTTGTATTTCCCCTCTGCTGACTTTCCAAGAGCTCCCTTACTATAATGGTGACACAGAAACGTGTTCCTTTTACCCATTACTGCCTCCCTCAGGTTTAGAACAGGTTAAAGGGCATATCTGGTAGATAAAGAGAGGAAGAAAGAGGTCTCCACCACCCAGCACTGTTGCCTGATGGGCCCAAACTGGGAGCTTCCTGAAGACAAAAACAGTTGGGACCCACCGTGTGGCACACAGGGATCTTGTCTGTGCTGTGTCCAGGTCACTCACCTTTACTTCAGTGGTTCTCAACCCTGGTTGCATCTCAGAATCACCTGGGGATGGTTCCAAAAAAATACCTTTGTCAAAAGAAAAAACAACCATTTTGTCCAGGCCTGTTGAACTGAACCCCCAGGCCGGGGCCTGGGCGTCACAATTGTTTTGAACAGCTCCCAGATGATTCTATTGTGCAGCGGGGCGAAGAACCACTGCTTTAGATTCCGCTGGTGGCTGTTATCCAACCTTGCGCTTACTCCCTTCCTTCCAAATATACCCCCAGGAGATTCCTCTGCCTGTTCTCACACCAAAGATTACTGAGAGCCAGGAAATGGAGTACAGCTTAGGGACTGCGGTTTAGTTTTAGAATGGAAGAGGGCTGAAAAGAGAGGTGGTGCCGAGGCCTGCAGGAGGCTGACCTCCCTGGTCCTCCCACCCCTATCTCCCATGTGACTGGCACACAGCTGGTGTACCGGAGGCCACCTCCTCCCAGGAGGCATGAACCTCCCTAGGACTTAGAGGATGAGATCCTTTAAGCATCACAATGTTCAGTTTCTTTCTTGCTGAGATGGGAGAAGGGGGAATAACTAAGTCATGGAAGACACTAGAGACTCGGGAACTGTGAAGCAAAGACTCTGGAGAGATGAAGACAATTCTCAGCCCGCAAAGAACAATTTAAAAATTAAATCACATCTATGCTGAAAGGATTAAATACAATAACAAATATGACTGTACATGTAGATCGTAGTGGAGAGACACACAGCTGCTGCCGTGACAGCCCATCCCTGATCACACGATGGCCAGAGCTTGGCTGGCCAGGGGGAAAGTGGCTCCTGGAGCCCCAACCCACCACAGTCCCTTCAGACCCTCCGAATTTTGGAAAGAAGAAGGAGCCCAACCCCCCAACCCAGAGTTCTAACCAATCCCCAAGGGTTTTAAACACCCCCGGTTGCTATGGTAACGGGCGGGCACCACCCAACTCTTCTAGGCCAGTGAGTGCCTCTCCTGGGAGAGGGGCCTGCCATGCCGCTTAGCTCTTGCTCCAAGAATCTTGGCCATCTGCCTGTCTTCCTCTGGCATGTTCATGCTGCTGTTGCGCTCTTGGCTCCACCCATCTTCCTTCCAATCTTTCTCTCCCCAGATGTCTCAGAGTTTACGTGGGAAAGCATGTTCTTCCAGCCTATTAAAGAGACTTTCAAAGTCATGCCTTCCCCTGCAGACTTCAGTCCCCTGTCTCTAGGCAGTGTGTGATGGGACTCAACAAGAGTGTGTGGCTATTTGGCATTCTCTGGGTCGAGTTGCTAAATGTTTCTGGGTTTCCCCTGGCACAGTTCTGATTTGCGAGCATCCAAAACTCAGGTCCTTGCCCTCAGAAACAACCGTGAAAAGCAAGGCAGCAGGATTCGTGCAGATGTGCAACATGGATGAGTTCCAGCTAGGAACATTTTCTTGTTCATCCAAAACCCACTGCTTTCATACAACCTCAGGGCTTCCAACTGTGTGAAGTTCCATTACTTGGAATTTGGGGTGTGCTTCTTTTTTTTTTTTTTCCAAAAGAAATTCAAGTAAAGACCAAATGAGAGTAAATGATGTGTCTTTCAGATAATGAACCACCAGAGCCCCGGCTTGAGCTGTGCCCCACCCCCAAACCAGTTGGGTGTCAGCCCGTGCTGGTCTCCACCACTCCTCAGACTCAACTCATTCAGCCTGATGCCCAGGGATGGGGACAGTTCCTTCCTAACCCATCAGCATATTAATAAGCACATGCACCTCCCAACTGCAAGAATAGATTTTTTTAATGAAATGAAATCAGATAACCTACTGTATTTGCATTCTAATCCAGTAGTCAGATCTGGACACCGAATGTGATTTATCTTTAAAACCTGTCAGAGTGATCACATACCAAGGTAGGGAAATAGGAATGCCCAAAGGCAGATCCACCAACAGGAGGAGACTGGCCAGGAACGCCCTGCCTGGGACAAACACTCTTGCTGCAGGGGTTTCTTGCCCAAGTTTCATTTTTAGAAACCAGAAAAACATGAAATGTGAAAAGGGCTCTAGCTCTAACCATCTGACTCTAACCAGCCCCAGAGGAAACTAGAAAATGGGCCGTGAAGGCCAGACCTTCACTGGCTTCCAGCCAGTCCCCATCTTCTCCTGTGAAAGTTCAAGACCCAGTCAGGGACGCCCTTCTCCACAGCCCAGGGTGGATAGGAGCAGCTCAGGGGCACATGCATTCTAGAAATTTCCGTGTACAGGACAGAAAAGCAGGAAAAACCAGAGAAGTGTGTCGGGGAGTCAATATAATCATCATCATGATACCAATAATTAAAGTAATAATGGCTACTAGGCTTCTTATCCCAGTTCTGCTATGTAGAGGCTTTGTGACCTTGGGCAAGTCATTTAACCTTTCTCTTCCTTCACCTGTGAAATGGTGATAATTATCTACCCTGCCTTTGTGCCAGGGTTGTCATAAGAACCAGATGAGATTATGTGAAAGTATTTTTAAAAGCTATAAATTTGATTTGTAATCTGTTTGGAATGTGCATTCTTTTTAAGACTACTTAACATCAATAGATATGCAAAACCAGATACCACACCTAAATATTATACCTTGTAAATAATATCATAGTTATCTACTGATGCTTAAATATGCAGGATTTTATGGGTACATCTGCTATACTGTATTTATAATATATTTATCTTATAATATTCCAAACTGTTACTGGGGATGTGTCAATAGCCTCATTGCATAAAAACAGTTATCACGGCATTTGCTAAAGTGGCTTTTACCTAGTAAAGTAGTATAGTTTCAAGGGTCCCTAAGGGGTGCTCTGCACAACTCTGAGGGGGTGGTGCAAGTTTTTAACTAGCCCACATAAAAATTATATCTATTCTCATTGAATGCAGCTATCTCTATGATTTGTGAGTAGGCTGCTCAGCAAGTTCAAAAAAAACATTTCCTTCCAGCTCCAGCTGGCAAGATGTCAAGATTGAAAAACACTTTCCTGGTTCTTTTTCTTGCCCCAATTGGGATGGATGACCCTAATTCTCACCACCCCATTTCCTTAAGCCATTAGCAGTGATTGAATCTCTGCCCATCCCAATGAGCCTCATACACATAATTTCAATGCACAGCAGCACCCGTAATAGAGAAAACTATGTTGTGAAACTTCAAATTTACTTTTAATTCCGTCTTTGACAGACCAAATTGAAGCCATGGGTTATACTTCGTTATGGCCACTTAACACTAGCTGGAAATTCAGGCACCTTCCAGTTTGTAGAAGTTTCCACTCTTTCATTAGCCCCAGGTCAAACAGAGGTATTTCCATTTCTACCTTGATGGTTTTCAGTCAACAGAAACGGTTCATCTTGACAGGAAGGTGGTACAGAAAGGACAGCCAGAAGCTGATGTCCCTGAGAAATTGGGGATCCAGTAAGAAAGAGACAATGAGACAGTCAAGTGCCCTCTTCCTGCACACCCATTCATTACACACTTGTTAAATCCTGAATTAAGTACTGAGCGAGGAAGGAGTTTCATGAAAAGCATTACAAGCATTATTCACTTGTTCTTAAATGACGAGGCATCATTTATCTGCTATAGGGTTTCAGAGAAAAAAAAGATAATAACAGCAACATAACAATTGACTATTATCTCTATTCTCGTAACACACCCAGGAGGCACTATGATCCCCATTTTATAGATGAGGCAATAGGAGGCTTAGAAAGGTTGAGTAGCTTGCCTAATATTCCATAGATAGTTGGTGGCAGAGCAAAAACTCCAACCCAGATTTATTTGATTTCCAAGGCTTTGCTCTCACCCATTACACTGCTGCCTTCCATTGTCCTCAGGGGTCCATTGGGAAACCTCTGAGAAGAGGAGGCTTGAATTGGCTCTGAGGGCAGAGTACGGTTTGCATTGCCTTGGATTGAGGGAGAAGATGAGGGCATGTTCCAAATTGCTGAGTTTATGTCTCTAGGGCTTAAAACATTGCCTAGTACAGCTGACCCTTGAACAACACAGGTTTGAACTGCACAGGTTCACTTATACACATATGTTTTTCAATAAATACATACAATACTGTAAATGTATTTTCTCTTCCTCATGACTTTCTTAATATTTTCTTTTCTCTAACTTACTTTATTGTAAGAATACGGTATATAATACATAAAACATAAAAAATAAGTGTTCATCGACTGTTTATATTAGCCATAAGGCTTCTAGACAACAGTGGGCTATTAAGTTTTGCAGGAGTCTAAAGTTATATGTGTGTGGGGTCAGCGCACTGTTCTAGGGTCAACTGTATATGGTAGAAGCTCAATGCTGATTTAATGGATGAATGAATGAGAAACCGTACAAAGGCATGCAGACAGATATAAGGATGGAGGGCAAGGGCTGGGAAAGGGAAAATGAGATCGTGGCAGGGAAAAGAAGAGCGAAGAGACCAGACTGGAGCACAATGTTCACTGTGACAAGGCGTAGGAGCTGAGATCATCTCCACCAGGTGTAACAATTTGATGGACAGCCTAACATTCTAGGGACAGGAATTTGGATTTAGTTCTATGGGTTGTTGTAAGACGAATTCCTAAAGAGGGGCCTGACAAGGTGAAAGCCATGATTGAGAAGGATTAATCTGGACCTGGTGAGCAGGAGGGGCTAGAGGTGGAGGGACCAGAGACAGTGACACCAGCAGATGACAGCTTCAATCAGGTGAGAACACTGGGAGGACCTGGAGGCTCTGACTGGTGAACTAGGGTAAGAGTCAGGCACAGGCTTGTCTTAGTTACATAGACAAGAGAGCTAGGCATTCCATCATGACTGAATTATTTATCAAGTAGAAGACAGCAGGGAGACATACAAGTTCTCCATCGAAAGCACACTCACACAGGGAGATATTTAAAAATATTCAGGACAGCCTCACTGCAAAAATAATTAACTTTTTAAAATCTTTGGTATCCAGGTCAGAGGAATTGGCTACCGGTCTGAGCAAGTGATTGCAAGTACTTTTAATGCTCTTCATTGACTTGAGATTCTTTTTTCTTAAAGCAGTTCATTTGTCAACCTTAGGAGGATCCTCTTGCTAATAAGTCATGAACCATAGGTAGACATTACTGGAGATAATTCCCAGGCAGGGGGCCAACTTGTTGAGAACAAGGGCAGGGTCTTCTGCTTTTGGGGGCCCCTCCGTGCTCAGCCCTGGGTACACAGAAGTGAGTACTTCACACACATGTGCAGCCTGACTTCCTAGGAACAGAGAGCTTTCTCTCTAAGTCCGACACAGAGTTGGCACTTAGCTGCTTCTAGCAAAGGTTCAAAGAGCTACTGGAGCTTCAAACATTCAGTTCTCTGACTACATACTTTGATACAAGGTATACACCCACAGGGGTTTTTGCCTTTAAGAAATGAACCTTAGTGTTCTTAGATATTGGTGGCATGCTATGAACAGGAGAGGATTTGAAAGTGCAGGTATATAGATGCCCGTTCAATCATTCAACACATGTTTGCTGTGTGCCTACCATATACCAGGCACTGTTTGTGGCCCTAAAAACGTATCAGTGAGCAACATAGGCAGCCCTGCCTTCATGAAGGCTACCTTCTAATATAAGGACATAATATAGTTAGAAGGCTACCTTCTAATAGAAGGACATATCTAATATAAAGACAATAAATACATATAATAAATAAGCAAATTAGTAGGTTGGGAAGTGGTAAGTGCTATGGAGAAAAGAAAGTGTGAGGGTTGGGGACATTATCACAATTTAAATAAGATAGTTAAAGTAGGCCTCATTGAGATTGTGACATTGATCAGAGACCTGAAAGAGACAACTGCGTTGTCCCTCAATTATAATACTTAAATTTAAAGTCTTTCTTAAAATACCAAACTTCAAGTAAAATGAAAGCATCAGCTTATATCTGATACAGGCCAAATTGGGGAGCAGTCTCCTTATTATGAAACTAATCAGACACATATTTTATACACTTGCATTTTTACAACAAAAGCAATCAGAAAACTTAATTTTCTGAGGCAGGATGTGTTAAAATACCATCTCCAAAATCCTTTTTGTGTAACAAAGCTCCCTTTGTTAAAACTCTGGCTCTACCTGTCAGTGCCACTCTCTTTCAGGGTCCATTCTTTCTCTGAATTTGCAGTTGGTGGGAGTTTGCTCTGCCACCAACTCTCTTACCAAGATTAAAAACAGAAACCAAAACTTGTAGGAGCTAATTGATAGCCCACAGCAAGACTTCGCATTAATTCAGTGGTGTTATGAACGAGTTATGAAAACCCCCTTTGCCAGAGAAACAATCAGCTGTTTTAGCACTCACCCAGCAGCCTTTATTTCCTACTTGGTACTATATTTCTGGCTTTTATGGGAAAAAAGGGGCTAGGGATTATGTCTTGGATAAATCTGATATCTGTCTAACCAATGATAACATTTCATCTTTAAGTACATGTTGTTAAAATTGTCATTTCTGTTCCATTATTGTAATATGCTTATTTTGAAGACTTTCAGATTCCAAATGGCTCCCAAATCGAGAAAATTATCTTACTGGTCAGGGGTTTGGGCTTGAACAGAACCAATTTAGAGAAAGTTCCTATGGGAAGATTTCAAGATTTCTGAAACACAATGTGTGTCTGAGAAATTGCAAGTCCACAACATGTATTTCTGTTACATGATTATAACTGGGTTTGTGGGTGGTGTTCATGCCTGTTAGATGACTCTGCTCAAAGATTCATCCCCAGTACCACCACCCGCACATGTCTGCCTCTTGCCTATGTTCCTCGGGCAGCTCACATATCTTCACTCCTGACTTTGCTCAGCACAGCTCAGGCCTTCCCCAGTTCTGAGCTGCCAGGCCAGAGTGTGTGGCTGAAAGACTTCTGAACACTCACGTGGAAGGAACGCAACTTCTGCTTTTGAGTCATTTAGTAACAGTTGCTCTATTTCCTTTTCTTCTATTAAGCAATTCTATTTGCACAGAAAAACATAACCAAGAAGTGATTTTTTTTTAACCAAGTACTAAAAGTAGTAATAAATTAAACTATGCCAGACAATTACATAACCTATTCCATGCTCACTGGGCACAGCTTGGGCTCACCTGGCAATGTTGTGAGCCCTTCAGAGGGGAAATAATAAAGAACTTAAACAACAAAAATTGTCTTTCCAATTTTTGGAAAGAGGAGGAGGAGGAGGAGGAGGAGGAGGAGGAGAAGAATGGCTTTTAACTGTGATTTGACCTGACAAGAAACAGTTCTGATCTACTTCAAGCAAAAACACTTCAGACCATTGGGTACATTGCCAGGTTGATGTTGAATATACCTGTTTATTTACTCCATCTTTTGCCAGACGCTCAATTCCAAAGCTTGGTGTGCAGCCAATAAGTATATCCTGTTAAAGCACAGGACAAAATGGATGTTTTCTTCCATAGGAAGGCTCACTATATAAATGCTCTCCCTTTCACTTAACTATCCTCGAGGCTCCATTCATGACTTTCTACATCTGCAGAGCAACCTTGACTTTCACTATAACCTCAATCACCCCCCTATGGTGTCAATGAATTCACTGTGACAAGATGAAGGAATATGCCCAAGATCCAAACATGGGTGTCAGAGCCAGATCTAGAACTCAGGTCTCCTGAGTGCCAGGCCAGTGCTTTTCTTGCCCAAGGTCACACAAATAATTAACAAAAGGCGAAATAAGTCCCTGCCTTCCAACATCCAGCAGCAACATCCAACTTCCCACCCTCTCTCACTCCCCTCAACACACCTGGCCTGTGTCTCACACACAATGGGAACACCCTACTGCTGCTGTAACATGGATTTGTATCCAGTGTCTCTTCTATGTCTTTTAGTTGAATGCTGCCCGTCTTAGATGCAGGGCTGATAGCCATAATATTTAACAATTGGTATGGCCTAGGCACTGACCAATCAGAAGGGGTGCTGGCTTCCAGCTGGGTCAAGGGCCTGGAGGCTTTCCTCCCCTTGCAGGCCCCGTTAGCTGCAGGTGTGTGTCTGTTGGGTGTGAGTGGGGGGCTAACAGGGATCCCAGGGAAGCCCTGCTTAGGTATAAGATCCCAGCTTCGGAAGGGAAACTTGTAAAGAACTCAGTGTTCTATAATTTTGTACCATGTGTACAATGCTTCTGATTTATGAGTTATTGAACAAATATTATGTACCTACAATGTGCAGAACCTCATGGGAAAAACAAAAGCAGTCAGAATACCCTCCGGGTCCTACCGTATTTCCTGGTAGAATAGATTAGAAATGTACCTCAGTAGCTACACTAGAAACGAGAAAGTTGTCTGTGTTTGAAGATAGGTCCAGGAAAATGGGTACAGCCATTGAGAAAGAAAGGACGGATTCTTTCTGGTTGTAGATCAGAGAAGGCTTTCTGGAGGGATTATTTCTGCTGTGACTTTTAAAGGGTGGGGAAGATTTGAGGAGCAAGAGCTACCAGCGACAAGCGTTCCAGGCTGGGGAAGAAGCAGCACGAGTAGGTAAGAAACGGTGGGGTAAATAAAGGCAACAGCTGTAGTCCAGCCAGCTGGAGGCACGTGCGCAGGCGTCAGCACGGAGTGGAGTGTCAGACACATAAGCGGGGGTGAGCAACCACTGCACACTCAGGAGCAGTGCTACCTGGGATTTGGAACATGCTCCCTCATATCTAAACTGGCCAGGCAACCCCCTACCTCCGTTCTGACCATATTAAAGAACAAGTAGGTATTTGTCAAGTGGCCTAAGGGATTACATGCCTCCGTTGGCACCAACAGGGCCAGGGAAGTATTGGCGATTGGATGCTGCCCCAGGAATCCCTGCCTGGGAACAGGATGCCTTCTCTCAGCCTGCTTGGAGGGAGCCCAGCGCTGAGTCTGGCTCTCGTCCAGCCTGGTTCAGAGCCAGAAGGGAGTACATGGCCATGGTCAGTGGGGCTCCCCGGTTCCTAGCACTGACTCAATTGAGGCTGGAGGTGGGAAAGGGGAAGGTTGATCAAAGACAGATCTAAACCAGGAGTAGGCAGAGAACAGTGGAGAAGAATGATTCTGAGTCTGCTGTAGACAGACTTGGGAGAGATTAAAAAGTTGTTTTACCATCCTCTATAGCATATAAGAGTCCCTCATAATTTTAGTTCAATGACAGAAATTAGCAACGTGCTAAATGAAAAAGCATGAGGTCCGGAGTTCCACTGATCTGGTCCAACTCCCTTCCTTGTCAGGAAGAGAGGACAATTCCTATTTCCCTAGAAATGATGCACTGGCAGGGAGGGTGCATGGATTCAAGATGGAGTCTAGGAAAAGGAAATCAATGACTAATAATTTGTCAGTGTTTCTCTAGCATAATGCAAGAAAGGTGGTGCTCTGTTCTCCTCAACTGGTAGAGTCCTAAATAGAAATATCTGTAGAGCAAATGCAGATAGGATAACCAGCTACCCTTGTCCAAGGGCTGTGTTCCCTGAGAAGGCCACTCCCTCTGTTATTATTCTATACCCACAAATCTGCCTTCTGATCTTCAATCCCGTTTCCTGAGTGGACTTGCTTTAGAGCATCCTGTATACATAACCAGCCAGAGTTTTCAAATAAAGCCTTTCTCCTATTGCATTGTTTTTCAGACTGGAGTCTTTAATCATATTCTCAGATACCCATGAATTCTTTAGAATAATTTTAAATTTAGTGTTTTCACTTTAAAGATACATAAAAATTTTAACCTTGATCGCCACCTAGTTTTACAAAGTAACATCATGTGATATCAATGCCAAGAATGAACTTGCATTTATGACTGTTTTTAAAGTCTCAGCATCTCCGCTGCTGCCACCCCTTTGCCAGCCATGAACATTTCACCTGGATTCTTGGGCATCTCCTAACTAATCTCCCTCCTTCCATTCCTGTCCCCACGTCAGCAGCCTGAGTGATCGTTTACAAAGGTAAATCAAATCATGTCACTGCTCTGAATCCTCCAGGGGCTCCCCATCTCACCGAGTAAACGCCAACAACCCATAAGGGCATGATGTGGTCCCCTGTAACCTTTCTGACCTCAGCTCCTGCCATGCCTCTCCCTCTCTCATGCCACTCCAGCCACACTGGCCTCCTATTTCTGTTAACATACCAGATATGCTCAGCTTCTGATTGGGGACTCTACACTGGCTGTCCCCTCTGCCTGGAACACTCTCCTGGAGAGCCACACGGCTCACCTTCGAGTTACTTTGCCAGTGAGGCCTACCCAGAACACCCCATTGAAAACTGCAATGCCCGCAGACCCTCTGCACTCAGGATCCCCTACCTTGCTTAGTTTTTCCCATAGTGCTGCTCATCTACTATGTTTATTGATTTATTATTTCCTCCCAGCTAGAATGTAAGGGACTTCTATTTATTTTACCAATGTATCCTTCAGACCCTAGAATAGTATTTAGTTCATAGCAGGCAGTCAAAAATTTTTGTGGAATGAATAAATACATTAGACTGACTTGGACACCTACTCTACTTCTGAGCTCTTGGTGGTGGAGGGGTAGGATGCCTGAATCCTTAAAGATAGGAGTAGGACCTACCAGCTCTGGACTAAGCTGAGTGTCTCCAGAGCTTAGAATTTAGATTCTGCTCTAAGGAAGAAACTGGTAAGAATCAACAGATCATGAGATTAACAGCACCTGTACTGCTTATGGAAGATGGTTATTCTTCAGTCCCACCACAAAATTACAAATCAAAATCCTGAGGGGCGGGGTCATACATCTTTTTTTCTTGTTCTTTTTTCTTTTTTTTTTTTTTTT